TTAAATTAGTATTATACACTCAGTCTCTATTGTCCCTTTAATTAGCACCAGAACTACAAATTATTAGAAATTAAGGACCCATAAAATTACCATTTTATTTTCCAACATGAAGGTACAAATGCTTTTTCTCGGACTGGTCCATGCAGCCAGGAATACAAGTCTGGTGAGAAAATACTGAATCTTGTGGGAAAATACCATTAGAATCAGCCCTAAAATCTTTGTTTTTTGTAGAGCAGTTGAAGATAATTGTTGATTTTGGTCTGTCCTTGGGATTTATAGACAATAAAACAAATATAGAACATCACGACCAACCTTTTCTAGCACAAATGTCGGCTAGCTTCAGGCAAAGAACAACAGCATTTCTTTTCTCTCTTGCTCCTCAAATAAATAACAACTGGTGAATCCCTAATATGATGCATTTAACAAATGAATACATTTAACAAGGAAGTGCCCTTTGTGGAGTCTGGAATCCCTCCTGGGTGTGTGGGGAAGGTGTGTGGGAGTGTTGTGTGGGCTTTCCCCATACAGATGGACTCTAAAGGCCAGCCTACACACTCAGGATCCCGCCTCTATCCCAGCCATGACATCCAGCTGGCGTCTGTCAGCAAAACAGCCAGCAAGGCAGAAAGCATAGAGGAAGAGGACAACAAGAAAATCAGAGGAGAACAAAGGCTGTGTGAGAGTGTGAAGAAATGAAGAAAAGTGTGTGATCGAGAAAGTGTGAGGTGGACAGCGATGCAGAAAGTGTGTGTTGGTGTGACCGTCCTGGTGTAAAGAACAGGCCCACTCACATTCCTCTGTATTATATGGAAGTCAACAGGAATGACAGTATTAGTAACAGAAAAGACACCCGCAACACAAGTACCTGCAGCAGGAAGAGATGTGCGTAGGAGGGGATACTTTTTCCCCGAGTCTGAATGCAATGGGAGACCTCATGGCTTTTTATTTGGTATGTTTGGACCTCCTCTGGTTGAAGGGATCTGGGACCCCAGACTTGGGTTTTTCCGAAACATTTAACTAATTTATATGCACATAAAAAATTATTTAAAGTGAGCACACTCTATTCACTAGCATTCCTTTTCTTCATTGAACGTGTTATAGGAAGAAATACATGTATGTATTATACATTGCCACATGGGGGACAGTACCTGGTAGGGCCTGCGCACCTTGTACAGAGCTTACCAAAATGGCCTGGGTTCACTTCCATCCCCCTCTCTCTCTGACATTTCCTGTCTCTCTCTTCAGCTGTTCTATCTAATAAAGACAAAAAGCCCCCAAAATATTATTAATAAAACAGTTCTGTGTAACTGTTTCATGCTTCTACTGCAGTACATATCAGAGGGAAATATTGTACCTTTCACTCCACTACTTTTGCTTGACAGCGATAGGTACAAGTTCCTGGTCAGATTAAAAATGTCCGTGCAAAACATATAATAATTAGTAACTCTCTCCTTTAGCCCCCCTAATTAGCATGTATGAGCAGTATTTAAACATTTTTAATGATGTAGTTGGAAGCAAATGTGAAACAGAAGTGTTTGTGTATGTATTTGTTAACCACCACACTGCCTGTGGACACCCATACGTGAAGGCTGCTGTATAAACAGATAATGAACCTTTATACAAAGTCACATAGCTCAACAAGCCAGAACAACAACAAGGCCCAAGAAACAACCAATGGCCCATCTCCCTGTCCCCAGGTTATCCGTTTGTTTCATTTGAGGTAATTTAATCAAACAGAACTTTATTCAGGAAAATGCACCATGTGTGCACAAAAAAAGCCAATTGTAAAATAGATCTTAAAACCAAATAAATAAAATACCCTTGACCATATGTGTGATCCCTCTTTAAAAATTGTTTCAGCTTGTGTTCTTGTATCTCATTTATACCCCATTTTTAATGTTGTGTGTAAAACGGTCATCTGATCTACACTTAACACAAACAGTTGCACAGTATATCATCTTCAGGAGGAGGCTTGATTACTGTAGAAGCTGCTTGTGACCAAGAGGTTTGAAATGTGAAACTTAAAACATGACTTTGGTAAATAGTACACACGTAAACACACACACACACACACATTGAAATAGAATGTCCTCAGTCTGTCTGCCACTTTCCCACTGACAGGTCTAGCATCATACACAGTTCTGTTCTTCAGAAGCATCTAGGAATAACACATCACAATAAACAGCAGCAGTATCACACAGCACAACATATCACGAAGCATGAAAGAAAGTCCACAGGTAAATACTTCAAGGTAAGTGTCATGTTTTTGTTCACCTAAGAGAGAACAGCACAAGGAGTGCACATGCTGCACGGTTCTCAGCGCCAGAGAAGCGGCGCCCCCTGATGGCCAGACCTTACTGCTCAATAAAAGAACTATACAGCACACCAAGTGAAGGACTTTACAGACAAACATAGAGAAATAATATAATATCTTGAGACAAAAATGTATTATAAAATATTAAATGCAAGTAAATGCAAGACATGTTGTGAGAAAAGGGGACTGGACTACTGTACTGATTGATTATTTTGTGTTGAAAGGAATTGTAGGCCTACACCCCAAATTAAATGTCAGATTGCTGTTGGTGGATGTTTGGATCTTTTCAGCAACTACTAAAAACTACCATGTGTTCACTTGATAATGGCGCTGATGCACTTAGTAGGTCCTGAACAGGTTTTTGGATATGTGTAAGCAGAAGAGGGGATGGATCAAAAATGAATACAGCATGCATTTTTGAAAATAAATAATTACTATAATGAGTACTGGTCTGCCTTTCATTTACAAGCTGTAGAAAAGTCCATAAGATGAGTACAAACATGTAAAACAATGCAAAGATGAAACAGACAAAGATCAATTCTCAGTTCTCAGATCAGTTCTGAAAAAGAACTAGTATAAAGTAGTATAACATGGAAGTACAAGTACCTCAAACTTCTACATAGTACTTGATTAAATGTACTTAGTTACACCCCACCACTGCATATAGTATGAGAGTTCCAGTTAACAGCGCAAAGTGATTTTAGTGGATACAACAGAAATCATTCCGTCATGTTTGTATAAAAAGACAGAATTGAAGTTACGAAATGTCTCTGTACATTAGAAAAGAAGTGTGTCAAAAAACTCTACAATTCTTGCTTCACTGTTACCTGTCACACAGGTGAAACACTGAAGGGAAGTTTGTGTAACAGAAAAACCTGCAAACAGCTAAACAGCGAGGGGCTGTGTCTAGTTGCTGGATGGTAAACTTCCACAGTTTGTCAGACACAATAACATTAACCGTGTGGAGTCTGTCTTTTGTCAGTGAATACACTAAGCATGTTTGATTCATAGCAACACAACTTCATTTATTCATCATGTAGAGGCAAGCTGTTTCATTCAGGATCGTTTCATGTCTGTAGACAATCAAACATTTTGAGAGAAATGTTTTAAATGATGAATTATCCATATTTTTAATACATTTACAGGCGTACAATTTAAATTTAAAGGGACATATTAAGCGTCCTGTCTTAGGCTATAGTTGTATGTCTGTGCCCTACGATCAGTGTATAGGGCATAGAGGTCATAATTCCAGGCTCCGTTCCAGGTCAGCACAGTCCACGGCTCCTCCTGCTGAGCATGCTCTCTTTGCCACTCTTCTCTTATTTCATTGGTGTTCCTGTGCTGAGAGGCCACTCCAGTCCTGTTACAATGACGCTACTGTGTTATTAAGCTTTGTGTTGTACTATATTCATCTGCCTCTTCATCTGACCCTGTTCCCTCTCACTCACAGCCTTCTGCCTCTTGCTATGGATCCTCTCTTTCTCCCTCAAGCCTTCCCTGTCTCTCTCTCTGTTCTCTCCCTCTGGCTCTCACCAGTTCTATCTTTTATTCAATGAGCCATGACTCAATTCACATTTGTCTGTTTGCATGGACGCCTACATAGTTCCCCTCAGACAGTGGCGAGGGCAGAGCAGTTCAGGGCAGCTGGAAACTCTGCTCTATATGACTGTAGGCTGGCCTGATGTTCCTGTGGTTAACCTCAAAATGTACACAAAATGAAAACGTGAATTACACAATATTCAGTGTCTGGATTCAACTGAATTAAGATTAGCAATGACACAAAATTAAATATAGTGAAGTTAAATTTCCCAGTCTTGCTGTGAGGACTCCAAATAGAAGTGATTCCAGATAACACATGTGATGTGACAATTAATTTATAATCTAGCTGTTTTGTTGCTTACTAAACAACAAACCCATACATTTTAGGACGGTATAACTAAATCAGGTCATTGAGGATCCACTTCATCTGTATGTCACCATAAAACTGTAAACTAGCTGACACCTTTAAGTGTTAAAGATGTAAGAAAATTCTTACATTTGTTCTACTGCTATTAAAAATGGTATTACTAAGATTTACTTTACTAACATTTTAACTGATATGTGCTGGTAGACAGAATAAACTTTCTGAAATCACTTGAAAGCCATTGTACATGTTCATGTGCTTATATGAGGTACTGGGTCTGGTTCCAGTGAGCAGAGAAGGCCTACATTTAGAACTAGCTGACACTGTTTAACAACTCGAGGTCAGTTCTAATCAAGCTACAATCAACATTGTGACGTATCATGATTTAATCTCTACATGGAAGTAGATAAGAGCAGAAAGTATTCTGTAAATACACTGTATGAATTGAGCTCCATCTAGTGGTATGATCTGCACCTAACCTATCTTGTTAATTCTATCAAGTTGATCCAAACCACTGTGTAATCTTCATATCCATATCACACTCCAAAATGTTAGAAGAAATGTAGGGAAATAATAGCTAAAATGATACCCATACCTCCATCACATCAGCAGCGTGCAGGCAACACTCTTTATATCTCAATACTATTAGCCCTGTTTGTGTAAATTACACTGAGAGAGGCACTCTGAAACAGTAAGAAAATAGAAGAGGAGCTGTACAGGTACAGTTCAGACCTGAACAAGCAATGAAAAAGAACTGGGTACAAAACACTCAAAGACACATTGTATGATTAAATAATTTTAATTTGAAGAAAACATTCACATTTCAAAAATGACTCTTTTCCACAACAAATTGCACTTTTTACGCACAGTTTACATATATGGCCCACGCCATCCAGAATCAGAAAATACTGGTGAGGTGTTACATACGGACTATTTTCCTTTTGTGGTGGTTTTATCTTGAATGTCTTTTTTTGCCAAGGACCCTCTTGTGAGTCTGCAAGAAAGTTTGAATTGAACACAAAATGACGTTCATATTAAAATTAAATCATTATTATGAGACGGTTATCCCGCGACCCTGTACGCAGGATAAGCGGTTGACGATGGATGGATGGATGGATGGAGACGGTTATGTCTTAAAAATAAATACGACAACACAAAAGCATTATTTGTTATCTGAAGACAATAAGATAATTCATTCATCATGCGAAAACTGCTGTCTGCTTTGTTGAGATAATTACCATGTAGATAAAGAAAACACAATTTCCCAGACTATGGGAATCATAAGGAAGTGGTGGTAAAAGCATTGAGGACACTTCTAAACTACAAAATGACTTCAGTCCAGTTTAGCAGAGACGAACTAAAGCCTGGATATACTGATTTAAAATATAACATATATTAAAGCGAAAAAATAACATAAAACACAAATAGTCCATTGTGATTGTTAAAATCAGACACATTAATCAGGTAATCATTACAGGACTACTCCAGTGAGTTAGTATTGCACTTCCATAAAGTTGGGGGATTCCCAACACACAGATTCAAAACAGAACGGGCATCATTGAACCAGCAGCGGACAAGATATCTTGAGTTTTAGTTTCTTGTGTCGGTCAAACTCCAAAAAGGCTGAATTCAACATCTTCCATAATGCAATAGCATCTTTTTGTCAGACCATCCCTGCCTGGCCCACATCATTTCAAAATCCACACCTGTTAGTAATGTCAGCTTCCTGTTTTTCACTCGCGGCCCGAGCTGGAATTTTCTCTGACACTTGACAAACCTCCTCCAGGAGGTCTGATATACTGTGTGCATTCACCAGGGTCTAAAGCAGGATTCCCATGTAGCCTCATTATTGGACAGAGTTCTGCACTGCCCTGCAAGTCCTACAACTCTATACAGTATGAATCCCTTTTCACTCTGCTGAAGAACTGCTGCACTAACAGCACCAAGGGGCCACATGTATCACTTCCTACCTCTCTGAATTGCCATGGGGAATCACAAATCACTTTCCTACAGAACCTGCACAGTGACTGATAGTGGCAAAACAGAGTCACATTACTTCTCTCAATGTAATGAAAACATCAAAATACAGGGGATTCTGCAAAACAATTATATGATTCATAAAGGAGAAAAAGACACATCTGCAATGGTAAACTCAGCTTTCAGAAAGAATGAATCATACTGTATTTTTACACTGCATTGTGAAGTGCGTTCTGATCCAATAATATTTAAAGACAACTCAGATCAAACTGTGTGCAAAACAATTCAGTTCCAGCCTTTCCACATGTATACACGTGGAATCATATAAATGTATAAAAAATAGCAATAAACTGGCAAGTTGAACAAGGCTGAACCAGCAAATAACTCTACAGAGCTGAAAGTGTCTGCAGTAACGAAAGGAACACACCTCTGCCTCTGAGAAGGTCTCGTCTTTTCAAGCAGTGCAAAGTCAAGAAAAATAAAGATGGCCCATAACACCAAACATTTAGGAAAAACTCATACACTCAGCAATTACTGAAAACAGTCTATCTATAACCAACAATGTGATACACCTATTTACTGTGAAGAAACCTGGTTTTCTGTAAGTGCTCGTTAATAAATTAAATTAAAAGAGATGCTTTTGTTTCCAACTTTACGGAAGGATTTTCCTAAAACCAATTATTGAAAGGACCCATGGATATTTCTACTTCTGTTTTACAAAAATGCTTACAGAGCAAGGATTTCAATCATTTTCTGTCACTGATGTCCTTTCAGTTGAATTCCATTGTAGTACTGAATTCTGAATATTGTTAACTTTTTAGCAGCACATACTTAGTGGACGGGTTAGTTACCAGGCACAGCTTGAAGTGACTGTTGAATGCTATGTTACATATTTCTCATTCTAACATCAGATGGGTCCGTCAAAGTGGGGATGTCCTGATCTTTTTTTTCTGACCCTTGAATATTGCTGATATTAAATCTGCTGGGTCAAAGTGGTCTGATTTTTATATCAGTATACAATACAGATTGAGTTTGTTTCTTCCAGTCCATGAGGTTCTCTGTTTGTTTACAATGCAGGACTCAGAGACCAGAGACCAGGGTTTGCTGCGTCCCAAACAAGGCAAGGATTGGGCTTCTACAACACTTTGGATAGACAGAGATTTTGGTCAACTTATCAAAAAGAAAAAACATCCTGCCTCATACATAAAGTCACCGCATTAAAACATGACCACTAGCTTTCCCTAAGCTTTATCAAAGTGCTGTGTGTTGCCCAAACAGAAACAAGAATCACGCTTTCTTTGCTACAAGCGGATATTATAAGACAAAAGAAATATATTGTCCCTTTTGTGGGAGTTTTGAAACTGTATTCAGTGTGAGCATTTCAGATACTCTGATTAATAACCATTCCCTATTTTGCTGATTTAAAAAAGTTTTCCAGATAGCATTAGGTTTCTTTAAAATGTATTTGCTGTTGCCAACTACTAGTATAAAAATGTCCTTTCTATGAGACAGGCTTGTCAAGGGATACCTTAGACATTGTAACCTTAGATATCTTGTCTTATTAGTAAGGCTCACCGTATTAACAAAGAATTGTTTTGTGAATTTTTGGGTCACATGATTGCAAATTACATAACCCGTAAGCCCATTTTTAACAATTATGATTGGCAGAGTTAGTTTCTGATCATCATACCATTTCTACTCTACAGGATACTCCCACCCAGATTGAAGGGGGTGAACTTCTGGGCCTGCTGTGCTCCAATCTCAGCTACATACAGGGCCCCTGTCTTTAGGTCAAGGTCTACGAAATGGGGCCTCACTTCATCAGCCAGCTGGATCACACTGATCACTGTGCACTGGCCAATCAGACCCACCGGTGGGGCATCCAGCAGTGAGATCTGGTTGGTGTTGAGCTGGACAACGACAAAGTACTTCTTATCTGGGGTCAGGCGGACAGAGTAGGGTGCATCCTCAGTGAAGCAGCTCCCCCAAGTCCCCAGCCAGTCCCCGGTGACTGAGTTAAAGACCTGGATCCTCTTATTCCCCCTGTCGGCCACCCACACTCTCTGGGCGTGATCCACGGTCACGCTGTGGGGGATGTAGAACTGAGCCAGGCCTTGTCCTTTCTCTCCGTGCATCCATAACACCTCCAGGTCTTTGGACAGCTTGATGAGGCGATTGTTCATCCCACCGTCACCGTCCACGATGTACATCTCTCCAGAGTCGTGGACGAAGATCTCAGCAGGCTGGTCGAACTGCAGAGGGTTCAACCCAGAGCCTGCCTTCCCTGGTGTACCAAGCACCTGACAAATGCAAGAAAAAATTCAACACCAAGCAACATTTGGCCTCCTTTGGCTAATTCTAATTCTTATATATATATCACTATAAATATTTAAATAGAACCTGAATCAACTATTTTGAACAACAAATAAAATCTTAGATAAAGCAGTCACCTGCAGGAGCTTCCCAGATGGCGAGTACTGTTTGATGCAGTGGCCGTATGGACCGTTCCCCACATCTGTGATCCACACAGTGGGGTTTAATGAGGCAGCGTCTGCTAAAAATATCCCATGAGGCATTTCCAGGGTGGTTGTGTTCCAGGACATGAGGAAATCTCCATGTGTGGTGAACAACAGCACCTTGGGAACATTGTCACCTAGGAGCAAAGCAAAGGCAAACACTATGTGAAATGTTAACATGAGGCAGCACATTTTAGAATGATTTGATTGGGACTTGTTCAAAGTTAAGCACAGTCTGGAGGATCAAAGCCTGATGTGCTTTTTCCACTTCTGGTTAGACGCACACTGAATCTCATAGACTTTGTACCTGCACAATGACAATAAAGCTGAATCTGCAAAGAAAACTCCTGCACACTGTCTAACTTGCAAAAAATATATATTAACAATGTTTCGGTACTAGACATTCATATTTTAGTGAGCTGAAAAGCTGTATAAAACATGAGCTATCTGACTGTAACATGTTCATATCTGGGTACAAATTCACAAATCTTATTTTACTAATATCAGAAGAGATTTAAACTTATGAGAGACACATTCAGAAATCTCAGTGCACATTCTCACGGTAAACATTCACAAAATCACATTAACACTATGTGTATTTATTAGCACATTTGGAATGATATTCACAAATGATAACGAACTCTTCCAATTTATTTTCTCTATCTATTAAAATATTAGCATTGGTTTTACATACCAAACAAGCATACTTTCACTAATAGAATCAGAAGCTTCATTTCCAGTACATAAACGAAATAAGTAAGTAATAATGTAGATGTGCTGTAACATCAACTGAGGTAGTTAATGCATGCATTTACCTCTCTGTGCCACATACACCACACCAGTATACTGGTTGACAGCCACACCAAATACCTCCCCGGTGAAGAGCTCTGGGTTCCTGGGCCAGCTCAGGTCCAGTTTGTACAGGGGCCTGCCCAGCAGCTGGTAGTCATATCTGAGGCCGGAGCTGCCTGGCTGCTGTGTGCCAATGGTGCCGTACAGCACCAGCATGAGCACAGCCAAAGAGGCCATGCTGGACGCTATCAAACACGTATGGCCTCTCTTTTTCATCAACATCTGTGCTTTCGCTGCTGGCTTTGTGCTACGTTTAATATCCTGGTTCAGTAATGTTAGCTCTAACTGGCTGAAGTAATCTAACGTTAGCTACACAGTCTACCCCCAAACAAGCAAACCGCTAATGTGATATCTGTTAAATTTGCTGTAAAAGTTAATCCGGTGAATTATATGCTATTTGAAACCCACTGACCACATTAAATGTAGAATTAACTTCCTCGTCTGTCAATTACGAAAACAAAATAGCGTGGCAAGTTAGACAGAGTAACACAGAGCAATTCCTTTTGTCGCAATAAAACCACTAACGTTACTGAAATGCTGTCCACGTCCTGTGAGAGGTCGGACTCAACGTGTAAATAAATCTTACAGAAATAAAGATGTGTCAAATCCCATGCGTTACATTTACGTACATTGTTATGATAACTTAAATGCTTTTATTTTTAGGTTTTTTGGCGAAATTGAGGACAAGACTGTTCTATTCCCGGTAACTTTACGCAGCTTAACGTCTGACCAAAATATAGCGTAGAGCGGCTGTGACGTCACGACGCGTTGACGCAGCTCTGGCTGTGGAGGGGACTGTGCTTCCCTGACTGTAATTTTCTTACAATATTTTTCTTTAAGATTTTTTAAATCACAGTGCGTATGACAGTCCGTGAGGGACAGAGACACCGTTCATGTAGTGTAAGCCATCGAAAAATCGAGTCCATGGAGGTCGCGGACAGCCCGCTCAATCTCGTAAGTTTCGGTCTTGATGTTGCAATAACAGGCTAACGTTACTGTAGCTAGGAGATTGCATAGGTAACGTTAAGCTACATTAGCTAACCTAGCTCCCATAGTAAGTTAGCGGCTGAGAGCTCTGTTGTTTGCCTTGTTCGCACTATTGTCTGGTAGCTTGGACATGCTACACGTGATACATTTTGGTTTTGTCCTCGACAGAACGTTGGAACAAGGTATTGTCAAATTTGATTATGTTGTTGATCTATATGATGTTAAGAGTTATTGTTGACGGCGAAGGACGAATGTGTTACAATTTACCTGGCCTGCAAGGCCATTTGATAATAACCTATGTTAGCCTGTTATTTTAAAATGTCATGGCCACTTTGTCCCCAGCCTCAGTTACACGGGATAGTTCCTATTCTATTTAATCGTTGTTGTCAGTTAAGGATAAAACCAACCTGATTCTCTAAGTGTGTGGAACTCTCCCGGAGGGATGAACACAATTCTCACTAAAGATATTACCTCATTTGCTGTTTATGATGGTAGAGGTGATTGGCCTCACTTTTATTTGTGTCTCTTGTATTGTCCTAACATTCAAATCCCCCCCCCCCCCCCCGAAAACAGACTATGTCGAAACCTAGTATATGGCTGGATTATGTATGGCCAATGTGCTGAATTGTAAAAAACAAAACCCTGCATGGTAACAGACATTTAAATGTTATTTTGTTGGATCTAAATCCCCATTGTCCCCCTGCCAGATTTGTAGGATATTTTCTATATCCCTTTCTTCTTGTGAATTTCGTAATAAGCAAGGAAACATGCTGTTTCTCGCTACAGACTTAGGAAAAGGGGGAAAACAAGGAAACTTGAGGAAATACATGTTCAAAAAAAAAAAAAACTTCAAAACAGTGGTAACTGGTATAGGTCCTCTAACCCCATGCATCTCTCAACCAAGCGCAGGATGTTACGCAAGGCGACCGATATATAATGCAGATGCCAGCCGGTATTACAAAAGTCTTGTATAATTCTATTATTACATGCAGAGTACAATCTAATATAGATAATATAACTGAATGAAATAGAAAAATATTGGGTTTGGTTTCAGAACGTGCATTCTTCTCTGCAGTATAACTATATATATTTAACGCTAGTCAGTAATAGTGTTAGATCTGCTCTCCTTTTTACGATGGGAGAAATGTATTAACATTTAGAAAAGATGATGGTGACTGAGGACCTGACCACTCCAAACTAACGTTTTTACCACCTTCCCAAAACTCACAAGGAGGAGCACTACCATCGTTCCACAGCAGCTCACTGACCAGCTGCCTGCAGATATTTGGGGTTTATTAGCCTTGAGAGTGCAGGCATCGGCTGATACCAATTATCTCAAAATGCCATGTGGGCCCGATTAATAAGCCAAAGTATATAAAATCCATCTGCTGATTGTGAAATCTGTTATGGAAGTGATCTTATAATTGATCTGTATAAGCCATGTATATGCATCCTGCAGATCCTGCATTAAGTTGATGTATTGTAGTGTCTCAATAACCCCCTTCTCTTTACCCGCAGCTGGTAAACAAGTCCTCCTAGAGAATTTATCCAGTCGACTTTAAATATGGGCAGTGCAATCCAAAGACCTCTCCATGCTAAATTGCAAAGCATTTGAAGTTTTGTCAAACGGCATTGGCATAGCGATCATCAGACATCACAATGTTGAGATGGCATTGTGATTAAAGGTCCATTTATACTCCTGCGTAGGGTCTACATGCGTACCTACGACATAGGCTACGCACGTAGCCATGCATATACTTGTGCGTAGGTGTGTCTGTCATTCTGCAATTACTCCCCCAAACGCTAGTCAACAGGAGCGCTACAGCTCAGGCTAACTTCCAGGTTAGCGCTCCGCTACCATGAATGGGGGTGATAGTGAAACGAATCATTTCGCTCGGGTTGCAATGGTCAAATATATTGATTCACTGTGTTACAACCGCCGTTTTGGCCGCTAGTAAATTACTTATTAGTTACTTCAAAGCGTGGGGTACTTCTGGTTGGCTCGGAGGCATTGTGAGGCTACCCAGCCAACCAATCACAGAGCTTACGGTCCGCGTTGATTTGACGTGTACTTACATTTTTGGGGAGGTACACGTCAGACGACGCTGTAGCACCGTAGCCTACGCCGTCGATTTGACGCAGAAATATAAATTGCACTTTAGACTTGGGGTTAGCTCACTTGTGCACCATGTACAAGTCTCTCTTCAGCTGTTCCTATCACATAAAGGCAAAAGCCCACAAAATTCTGTTCTTATTCGTTCTAACAACTTTAGTGTGGTTGAAATAAAAAACATGGTGAAATGTTGTTCTAGCAAAATAAGGCTGCAACTTTTGATTACTTTCACTGTTAATACGGTGATTATTCTCTATAAACTGATTAATCATTTCCATAAAATGTTCCAGAAAATAGTGAAAATTGCCATTATAACTTCCCAGAACATAAGTGAAATCTTTAAATTGCCATTTTAGCCAACAGCAAATGTTTGGTATTTTTGGTTCGTAAAATGACATCAAACAATTCATCAGTTATCAAAATGAATGCTGATTGATTTTCTATCTATGCTTCAGTTGTAAATCAAAATAAGTTTTGTAAAATCTAAATCTAATCAAAAGACCAAAGAGGTACCCTTGATTTTTGTGTCAGGGAATATCATTCATTGAAGTACTCCTGTCCTCGGCCCACCTAACCCTTGCCCTTGTTTCTCACCCCCTTCCTCTGCTCTGTTTTTATATCTCCAACTCACCTGTATCCAATTCTTTCCTTCTTCTTTTGTCCATGTTCCCTCCATGTGTCTGCCTCTCTTCAGGCTCATCAGCAGTGCAGGACAGCAGACCGATTGCTAGCGGCTGGAAAGTATGAAGAGGCCATCTCCTGCCATGGAAAAGCAGCAGGTATGCTTTGAGGATAGCTGCTCTAACACAAGTATATGATGGACTGTAGTGGAGGGGTTGTGGGATGTGTTATATGTGTGATGGACTTGGTCTGCACCTTGCCGTGTGTGCATTCTCACAGTAAGAACCCTTTTGTAAATATCTATAAAAATTAGGCCTTAACGATTTTGGAGAATAATCTAATTGGGATTTGTGTCATTTGTAAAATAAGTATAGTAGAACCGCTTTGGTTTCCATTATAAAAGTAATGCAGCCTCTATTTGCATTGATAATTGTTTGGCTCCCCCCCGTCTCTCACAGATCTTTTAACAGATGCAATGAAGACAACAGAGTGTGAGCAGGTGAGACACTCGTGTGTGTGTGTGTGTGTGTGTGTGTGTGTGTGTGTGTTCCATGAGTAACATGAACTGGGTCAACCATTCATACATTTATGTTCACTGAGTTTAAAGCACTGATCAATACAGCCTTTAGTCAGGTCATCTCCGAATTAGAATCAGCTTTATTGCCTGGTAGGTTTACTCTTTGCTTTGGTGACTTGGTGCATAACAACCAATATAAAATAATTAAATGTCAATTTTATAATTTATATTTAAATATTTTAAGAAATATAAAATAATGAATTATATGAACCATATGGCAGTTTGTGCAGTGATGTGCAAATATTTACATCAGATATACAAGTGCAAATGTTAAGGGGGTACGAGAGTCAGTGTAAGTGGGTCGTAGACACGGCGCACTAATTTTTACCTGTTTAGGTTCATCACCTTCTCCGTTCCTCTTTTTACCGCTAAAGTTACTACCTCCTGATGGAGCTTTCCACAGTTATGCTACATTCAGATATTGGGTGACGAGACCCTGGATAGAGCCCTGTGAAATCAGTTTTAATTTGTTGCGGGCTACTCTCACGTGGGCAGCGTTCCTCCTTGTTTACAAAGTCTGACCAGACGTATCTTCTTTTTTTTTTTTTATCTGACTCCACCCACAAAGTCAGAGTTCATGCCTCACATCTGCCGACGTGGTTTCACTTCTGAGGGTTTGTGGAAGTGCGAAGTTCTTGTTAGCGCACCATCTGTATGTGTGACCATAAATTACACCAAAACCATATTTCCCATCATGCCAATCTCACCCTGGTGACCTTGATTACCAGTAACAGAAGAAAAATCTCTGGGTATTGAAGACCCAGTTTAGAACCAGTTCCAATTCAGAACTGGATTTTGGGAGGCTGTTTACTACCACTTTATACACAGGGCTGCTAAGTGACTGCCATTCAGATTTTGCCCTGTGTGTCAGTGTTGCTGTTAACATTTCGAGTTCTGTAGCTGGTGTTGATACTCTGTGTTCGTAGGCTCGTCTGTCCATGGAGCTGCAGAGGGACAGTCATATCAAACAGCAGCGCCTGATCCAAGAGCGCTGGAAGAGAGAGGCTCGTCGTGAGGCAACAAAGGCCCGACCTGGCCCGGTGCAACCCTCCAGCGGCCCAGCCCTCCTACCCCAAACCCAGTCCACAGGCCAGCTCCAGCCCCATGGTTCCCCAGGCCTCTCGGCTGCCGAATGTGGAGGAATCGGGGAGAGAGAGTACGACACCTTGCTCTACCAGCTTCAGACTCGGCAGACTGGAGGCTGCCAGCCTTTGACTCCATCGTGCCCTGGATCTAAGACCACCAAAGACGACAAAACTCGCTTGGAAGAACAACAGACCACAATCGTGGACCTACGACGTCTGGTTGACCACCT